GTGTAAAAACACATATGACAACACATGAAAGAGGAAACAGCAAAAAAGGATGTCTCATTTAAAATTACCACATGGGACTGGGGTTCTAGCTCAGTGGTAGAGCACCTGCCTAGCACATGTGAGGCACTGGGAAGGAAGGAAGGAAGGAAGGGAGGGAGGGAGGGAGGGAGGGAGGGAGGGAGGGAGGAAGGAAGGAAGGAAGGAAGGAAGGAAGGAAGGAAGGAAGGAAGGAAGAATAAAGGTATCATGTCCATCTACAACTAAAAAAAAAATTAAGTTTTCTTCTTAAAACAACAACAAAAATCCTACCACGTCATTGACAGAATCAGCAAATCAACCACAAAGTTAATGTCCAGCAAGAATATTCAAAAATTCAAAAGACACACTCTTATTCAAAGTATCCTTAAATACAGTATATTTTAAATTTATATTGCTTTAAAACAAGCATGAAAGCTTATCAGTTAAGAGCACAGCCTCTGAAACTAGAACATTTAGGTCTGAATTTATGTCATTTAATCTCTTTGGGTCTCAGATTCTTCAAAAAGAAAAGTATAATGTATTTATGGTAAGGTACACAAATAGTAGAATGTACAACTTAAATTTTTACATAGTCATATGCCTATCCCAAGACACAGAATATTTTCCAACGTCCTAGAAGATTTCCTCCTGCCCCTTCTCAGTCATTCTCCACCACCCTGAAGTAACTATTATTCTGACTTATATCATCAGGAAGTAGTTGTTGTTTCTGAACTTCATTTAATGGAATCATGCACTATGCAATCTTATGTCTGCCTTAAGACTATGAGATCTCACCATGTTGATGTGTGTTTTTGTAGTTTATTCTCTTTTGATTGCTTTTTAATGATTCCTTTTATATCACAATTTATTAATCCATTCTGTTGATGAGCATTCAGATTGTATCCAATTTGGGGTTATTCTGAATAAAGACATATGAACATTCTTTCATGCACTTTTTCTAAACACATGCATTCATTTCTCCTGGATATACCTAGAAATAGAATGACTGGATTATGGGTAAGAGTGGACACAGCTACAGTTTTTCAAAGTGACTGTACCATTTTACACTCCAACCAACACTATCTATGTGATCCAGTCAATCTACATCCATGCCAACATTAGCACTGACCATCTTTTAATTTTAGCTAATCTGGAAGGCATATGAATATCTCATTATTGTTTAATTTATATTTCCCTGTTGACTAATAATGTTGAGTATCTTTTTATATGCATGCTGGCCATATAGAAAGTACCCTTCAAGTTTCATTTTCTAATTAAATTATTTTTCTTACTAATTTTACCAATAAATAAACATACATATTCTGAGTATAAGGCCTTGGTCAGATATATGAATTGCAAATTTCTTCTTCCAGTCTGTATTTTGTTCTTCATTCTTTTAACTGTGACTTTTAGATGGAGGGAAGTTATCAGTTTTAATGAAATGTCAAGACAAATTTATCATTCATTTTTACAGTCACTGCTTTCTGAGTCCTTTCAAAAATATCTATCTACTCCACTCACTTACTCCTTGATTTATGCTTATGGTTTGAGAAGTTCTCCACCATACTCGCAATTCATGAAATACTGCATCTTTGAAAGGCTTGTGTTTTCATCTTGCTGTCGATTTGCAGTGCATTCATATTATGTTGTTTGGTGCTGGATAACTATCATTATAAATGTTGGGTGATCCACTTTATAAACTAGAGAATTCATCAGTGATTACTTCCATATTAAAATCACTTCTGTACAAATATTAAGAACCTAATGTAAATTTTAAAATTCTAAAGCCCATTATCACAGCTTTTTTCCCCAAACATACCTTAAATAATTCTTCCTTTCCCTTTGAACCCAATCATGAAGAAGCCCTGCTGTATCCTTTTCCTTAAATTAATGAAAAACAAATTTCCAATTTCCAACCATATAGTTACAAAACAAACTTACTTTACTCTTGCCTCTACTGACCCAGCAGGTGTTCCGCCTCCTCTACCTTGGACCTCTTCACACCTAATCCATTTTATATTCTGCTTTCAAAACACGTGGAATTTGAACTCTGCTCTGCCACAGCTGATGACCTGGTTCACTCCCTCATCAACTCATCTGGAGTATGAAACTGGCCTTAACTGGTCTCTGTCTTACATTCTGTCTTTCACCCTGTCATAAATCACCTCTCAAGAATATAATTTTGATCATGTTACTCATCTAATAAAATCCTTCTTCACTGCCCACAGAATAAAGTCTCTTAAAGTTTCTCTTAGCTGAGAATTCCAACCTAGCTTCTCTCCCAGCAATACCTACAACACTGTCATATGACCCTCATAGGACCTCCCATTCATGCTGGCTTCGCATTGCTTCCACCAACTACCAGAGCCCTTTCTTCTGTATCCTCCAGTCAGTTCCCTTCCTCTCTTGGCCAGGTCCATCCCAGCAGAAGCAACCATTCCCTTTTATGTGTACCCACCACAGCTATATTTGAGTTCTCAGCACAATGTATTAGTTAATCATTTATTTGTTCATCTCATTCACTAGTCTTCAAATTTCTGGACTTCAGTTTTTCCTTGAACTCTTCAAAATAAGATCAGGAATTAATCTTTAAATCCCAAAGTCTTGGCAAGATTACTATAGAAAGGTTCAAAGAAAGAATGAATGGCCCTAAGTCACTTTAATTTGTGATTTTTATTCCTATAAAGATTAGAAAAATTAGCAGTGAACCTTCCTAAAACAATTTTTTAAAGTACTCAGCAAGTTTTTCTTTCAAAGAATTTTCTTTTTCCAGTACTAGGAATTGAACCTAGGGCCTCATGCATGCTAGGCAAATGCTCTACCATTTARTTACAACCCCAGTCCTTTTTATTTTATTTTCAGACTTTGTTGTCAAGTTACCCAGACAGGCCTAGAACCTGTAATCCTCCTGCCTCACCCTCCAGAGTAGCCAGGATAATGAGTGCAAGCCATCATGTCTAGCTCTTTCAAAAATTTCATCAAAATTCAAATATTAATTATTGACATGTGTTTCCTAGTAGAAATAGTCACAACTCTTTGTTTTAAACTACCTTTTAAATTAATAACATCAAAAGTAGGATGAATATACCACTTAAGCAAAGTAAGTAACTATAGTCATCACAGATCACTACTAGATGCCAACAGTATGAATCAGTTATTATTTAACAACTAAAAGATCACAATGATTCCCTTGAAATCAATTACAGTACAAATCTGTTCACATATTTCCCCYTAACACATAAATCTGTATATAAACAGACAACAGGCATACAGTTTACAAACATAAGCTTAAACATAATGACAATAGTAGTTATACACGTTGGTACAAAATTACTGAATTTCAATGTGTCTCACTTTTCTTGTCTGTAAAACAAAGATGATAACTTCATAATGCTGCTAGCTGAGAGCATGTAATAAGGCCCTCGACACAGTGYATGGCCAGTAAGTGCATAATAATAAATATCAACCCTAATCACTGTACTTTTTAACTTTTTAAAAAATCCTTTTACRTACACTCTCTTTTTCCTCCTTCACAACAGCACAATGAAATTATCTAGGCAAAAAAATGCTATTGCCATTTCAGAGATAGGGCATCCAACATAGTAGTTACAAGATYGCCCTAAAATACTTCAAGGCATAGTTTGAACATAATCACACATAATTTCAACCCCAAAACAAACTGACCAAATCTCCAAAATCCATTTGGAAGAGTCTTTGGGGATTCCCCATTATTTCCTTCTGGTGGTCAGCAGCAACCCTTTTCAGACCTGTAGGGATAGATGATTCCCACAATTTGCTCAAGTTGAAAGGTAGAAGCAGCCTCACTTTCACAGTGCCTGACTCACACAAAGTGCTAGGTGCTTCCTCAATTACAGAACAATGAACTCCACAAAAATCAAGCCTGTCACCAAACACGAAAAATCACTTAATTATGCTTTATCTGTCTATCTGTCACATCAAAGTACAACATAAAAATTGGGGGGAAAAAAAGCAATTTTCTTTCACTAACTCGAAAATATACAATTTTTCATAAAGGACTTTGATCAAACAGTTTTTAAAACCCAACTAGTTATACTTCATGACACATTTCTTTGCCCAAATAAGTGAGGAATATTTATAATGTTTCATCTTAGCAATATTTTAAACAACACTTAAGTATTTTGAGTTTAAACTGAAATTCACTCCCCAATCTTATCCACATAAAGCAATTCAGTGCCTATATGAATACAGTAATGAACTTCAAAGGCAGATGCAATGCTGCAAGGAAACACACCCCAAACCCAGGGACCCAGGGACCCACCAGAAAGCGGATGGCTCTACAACTACAAGTAAGAGCCTTATCTTTCTATCTCTTCAACAGGCAGTTAAATGCAAAGAAGCCTCCTAAAGATCAGGCTTTGGCATCAGCCTCTAGCAAAGCCTACCTTTACCTTCGCGGCACTGCCACGCTGGCAGCTACGACTCACACCTCTTTATGCAAAACAGCTGCAGCCCCTGCCCTCGACATCTCCCGCTCAAGTCTGGCACGTGGCTGCCATTTGCGACATTTTGGCTCAGGATATTTTAACAGGGGCATGCTCGGGGTGTGGTCAGGACAGTGCAGCTCCCAGAACCCCCGAGGTCTGGGCGGGAAGGTCCCAAGCTCCGTCCAGAGCACCMACGGGGCACCCAACCCTGCCTGCCCCTCGGCCACCTCGCCCTCGCCGCCCTGACTCGCGAGGCCCCTCGGCTGCTAAGGCCTCCGCCACCTTCTGCGAATCGCTCGCCCGAGTCTCCTCAAACCTGAGAGGGTGAAACCTCCCCGCAAGCTGGAACCCCAATTCCCGGCGGAGTGACCATCACCTGGGCCGCAGCCCGGGGGAGGCCCGCAGCTCGCGGGGAGGAGCCGTGGTTGCGCCTCCTCCTCCCGCAACTCGGAGATCCCCGGGTCGCCGCCATTTTACCCGCATCCTATCCCCCACCTGGCAATTCTGGCCGCCCACCTGTGACGGGCAGGGAATGCCGTGCCACGCMGCAGGGGGCACGTGGACAGGCCGGAGATTCCTGAGGGGTCAAACCTAGGGGCAGAACCCGCCGCTAATTCATCCCGAAGCGAGGAGGTACCCGGCCGTCGCCCTAGTAATGCGTCCTGCCAGGATCCATCCTGATTGGCTGCGGGAGCCCTGACGCAACGGCGTCCCCGGCTGCGTGGGAAGCCCGGGTCTCCGGCGCCCCGCCCCTGCCCCGCGGCCGGGGAAGCACCCTGGGCGAGTGTCCCTGAGGGTTCCTTTAAAGGGGCCTCATATATATTTCATGCTCTGACCTGCGCGGAGAGGGTGCAGAAAATCATGGGTGCAGAGGCGAGAAACCAAATTGGAAATTCAGCGGAGGTCTCTGCCCAAGGGAACCTAATGGCTCCTCCAAACCCGGGAGTTGCAGAATGGAAAACACATCTGGCAGATTAAATTACAAACTGTATTTTTTTTCCCTGAAGTCAAAAGGTAAATCAGTAGATGAAACCAGTTTCAGAATCCATGTTCTTGATGGTGCATGACTCTTGCTGACACGCACGTTTGCCCATCCCTAGCTCCACTTTCCCTCCTCAGAGGACCCTGGGCTTAGGGCACACCACTCTTAAAAGGTCTTTATCCCTTTCTACTGTGTTATGTGTGTCCCCACACCTACTCAGCTCCTGAATGGTAGGGACTGGGTAAACCTCGTTTGTGCCTCCACTGCACAGGCTTCCTGAATTAAAATCTTAAAAATAAACATGGCCACATAGGTTACACACAGCCATTCGCCAGTCATTCATGTATGTTTATACGTTTTATTAATTTATTCAACAAGGCACAGAGAACAGTGAATATTTTAAAAAGTACAAGGTCCCTTCCCTCTCAGAATTCACTAGTGTAATAGTAATGAACATCTAGTTTGGGGGTACATAGCTTCAGTGTAGCTAATATTCCCCCAAACACCCTGTGAATCTAGGGTTCCTGTGTTTCCTAAATCAGCTTCATATCTTTCCTAATTTTGTTCAAAACATTTAAATATTTAATATATGTTAAAATTGTGTTAGAAAATTAAAAAAAGAAGAAGAGGAAACACCACTACAAAAGCCAACGCTACCAATTATCCTTAGGACGTTAGTCCTCATTTTTATCTTTGAAATAAGATGGCTGGAATAAAAGATCTTTAAGGTTTTGTTTTGGTTTTCTTTTTTTTATTATTTTCTTCTTCCTTTTTTTTTTTTATTTAATTTGGCATAGTCGTGCTGCAGAACTTTAGAGGGCTGCACTTGGACTCTTCTATTTGTTTTTGTTCCTGTTTTATGGCCCTTCCTAGCACTTGCCAGATCTTCCACTTAGCCTTTCCTCTACTGCAGATATCTCTGGGCTGGTGAGATGTGCCAAGCGAGATGTGGCAAACAACATGGCTGAAGAGGCAGTGCTACTGAGCTCTTTCTTGATCTGAGACCTACTCAAAACTAGCCACTCGAGTATCAACAGCTGAGTATTGCCAAGCTCAAAATATGCTCTTAAACCTGAAGACATCTCCCAAGTATTATGCTTCATTCTTAGTGGTTAGAGGTATAAGGTGCAGTAACTTGATATTTTTGTAGAAAATGTCCTGACATGCCCTAGACTACTGTCCACTTTACCACCCAAATAAGGTCTTGTACTTTAGATAATAGCATTGTACCAAGATGATTTTGTTTTGATGTGTGTTCTATGCTTATACAAGATGTTAACAGAGATAAAATGTACACAAAAAAATCTCTGGAATCCTTCTGTGTCTCTCCTAAGTCTAAATTTGTTTCAGTTTTTTAAAAATAATAATTGTCAGCTAAAACATGTCATCCATGTAGCAAACTCTTAAATTTTGTGAGGTGTACCTACCGTCTGCAATATGTCTCATCAGGGCACCCAGAGTACTTGCATTTTTTGTTCATCAAATCTGACTAGCACGAGATTTCAATATGGTAGAACAATGTGATGGCAGATGGTCCAGGTCTCTTCAGAATATATTATGACAGAAAACAGGAAAAAGAACATAGCCCTGCAGCAAGGCTATAAAAGTAGAATGCTGTGTGTCCCAGGTGAATATTAGTTTCCCCTGGATGTGATATTGTTTTTGTTTAYTGTCTTAATTGGGAGCTGGTGAGAAGGGAAGGTGGTTATAGGGACTTCCACTTGACCTTTTCTAATAAAATAGCTCTTACTCTACAAGTTAAGGACTAATATAAGGGTTCTGTCAACAGCTAAGTATTCCATTCCAATTATACATTCAGGAACTGGAGAAATGACCAGTAGGTTGATAACAAGACCCGTAGATCCACTGAGACAGACCTGGGTGAAGACTCCATTTATTGTCTGAATCCAATATCACCGTATTCTAATTGGGAACAAGGGAAGGAACAGTTTAAGAAATGGGGAGGAAGTAGGATGCTTCTTAGGACCCCTAAGTAACCCCATCACCTTATATATCCAACATCCCTCAAAAGATCAGGATATTGCTCTTTCTTATGATTTTCCAAAGAAATAATCATAAATTGCTTAGGAGAAGGACTGAAGAAATTTGTGTGTACTTGCTATGATATTCTGGGATCTTTCTCATGAATACCAGTTTCTCCTTCAGTCTGTGTATTGTCCATCTGAGAACAGGATCAGGTTTTAAAATTGGATAATGGATTATGATTTTCCATTGAAGTGATGTCTGACCTCAGCCTGCTACTCATTCCTTGACCTCTTTAGATTGTATATTAAGCAATACCCTTTCTATCTGCCCATATATCTTGTCCCTAGAAATACCACATTCTATCAGTCATTCCCATAAGGTCAGGTCAGGCCCCCTGGCTGCCACTTTGACATTGCTATCCATTATGGTAATTAGGTTGTCTGTTGGTCTCACAATTATCTCTAATATTCTGGGATCCTGTCATCCCTGCATCTACTAAGGGTTCCTGTTCTATAAGAGCACCTTCTACCCTCAGTTCTGGCCTACAGAGGACAAACCCCAACAATTAGCATGCTTACTTCTCTAATTTTTTTTAATCCCTACATCTACATTCTACCAGGAGAGTTTTGACATCTCTACATATGTGGCCATTTGTTCTGCCCAGCTTCTCAGAACCATCTCAGAAGCATGTTAGAATTGGCTCTCAGAGCTCTGTCATGTATTAAGTACTATGCCATGGAAGTGTGCCTCTGACTGGTTAAATTTCCCTAAACCACTTTATATTCAGCTCCTCCTTAATCCAACACCCTCAGGATGCACACCCAGGCATCGCCCCTCAGCTGTAAGCAAGGTCCTGTAGTGTCTCTGGCTGACAATACTTTTTCTCCCTTAATAGTCACAGAAATCTCCCAGTTAGGTAGAGAAGAGATTTGGCTCACAATAGGACCCTATGTACTTTTCATGTAAGGATGCTCTCTGTCTTCCAACAGAGAGGCCCTCTTGGATCTGAGGGTTCAAGGTTCTCAAGTCTACCCTGATAGCCCAACCTGTCTCAAGATTCTCCTCCTTCCCTGTCAAGGTCTTAACTTTGACATCAATAGTCAGCCTGCTCTGAAATTCTGCCTCTCTTCTAGCTAAGACCTTTTCCTAGTTGTCAGCTGACTGCAGGTGATGAGACTCTCTTTAAATGCTGCTCAAGAGCCCTTTGGACCCTCCTGTGTTGCTTACTTAGCAATAGCCACTTATCTCCACAGACCTTACAGCAGGCAATTTCTCCAAACCTCTCAGTCACCAAAGACTATACCAGCGAGGGCACCCCATTTTGTTTCTAGAAGGAGATCCAGAGGAGAACCCACTCAGCCAGGGTGGGTTCTTGAGAATTTCAGGATGTGTCAGAGGCAAGGCACAAGCAAAGATTTATTTAAGGACAGCAAGGTTTATACACCCAAAAGTAGTGTATGGGTGTCCCTCACTTCTCAGAGAGAAGAAGACAGTGACATGCTCAGGGTTGAAATTTCTGATCATATATATATGATTTTTCCAGGGGAAAAAAATGTGCAGGCTCTCAGGCAAACTTCTTTGTAAATCAAGTCCCATGACAATCATTCTATATCTGAGGTTTAGAATGTTTCTCTTTGGTCAAATAGTCTAGTCATAAATCACATGTGGGTATAAGTCTTGGAATCTGGTGACATTTAAATCAATTGTGTTTTTGTTCCAGTTGATCTGGTACAAGCATATGCTGAAGGTGTTGTTCATCTAGTAAAAGGACAGGCATGGCTGGTCATGCTTATTGATCCGAATCTCCATCTACTTATCTCCACTTAGTCTCTCCACAAGAACCCACCTGTCTCACTTTCACTTGCAGCATTCCCTGGTTTGACAAAGGTTATGTGCCACAGCCTAGCAGTGACTAGCAATACTCCAGTAACTAGCAATGGGGTGGGTTCTGCCATCCTGCCACCCAGTGATCCATCTTCAGAATCCCACCATCCTTACAGTCGGCTTCACAGGACCAACTTCCTGAGGGATGGGAGATGGGAGGTTTCCAAAAATGGAGGCTGAAGCTGGCATCCTTGTGTGATGATTTTTTTTTTTAACAGTGCTCTCAAGAGAAAGGGAGGGGCAGTGAAAGAAGCAGAATGTGGGCGTGAGTGAGAAAAGTTAAGTGTGGCTGTGATCTCAGCTGGAGACTTCAACCCAGTCCCATGAGGAGCGCTGGAGCACTGGAGCACTAGAACACGAATTACCCCACAGGGTGGCTCAACCTTGAGGCAGGGGATTGATTTTCTTCTATTACATTTCAGTATCCATCAGATATCAACTATAGGCTACCTGGGGGGTAGGGGGTGTGCACAACAATTGAGTGAGGCAACCCACACTTGGTTGAGCAGAATCCTCCAGAAAAAGAGGGATATCTGTGAGCCATTTAGCAGCCAAAGCTCATTCGGCAGCCAAAGGATGGTGCTGGGATAGTGGATGCTAAGCTCTTTGAAAGAATCCACATGTGACTGCATGTGCCCAGAACCTCTGAAAAAGACTTCAACAGAGACCATTGCCATGGTAGCTTCTGGGTGGATGTATTAGATACCAGTAAACTTGCACATGGCTATATTCCATTTCATACTCCTGGAATTTTGGCCGGGTGTATGCATTACCTTCTTCATTTTGAGGAAGAAAAATTAAAAGCCCCTTT